TAACAGGGTCAGCTGTCTTCGATTTTCTTCCACTTTCAGCCCGCCGCTCGGTCGTCTGGGACTCCTTAAACGATTTTACCACCCGAGACACAGTTGTATGGGTGATTCCCAGTTGTCCATCTCATGGTCGCAGTCGGATTTTACCCACGGATAAAAAAGTTACACACGGATAAAAATGGTGCATTTTTTTCGAGTACAAGCCTTAGAGCATCTCTCACAATTTTTGCAATCCTTGCTTTTGTGCCCGAATGCTCCACATTAGCAGCATCTCAAAATATTAATCGCGGTAACTATCGAACACAGAAAAGGAGCCAGACACAAGCTGTCAGGAACTGTAATTGCAATGGAACAAGAATACATTCAATGGGATATCGTTTTTAGAATCATTAATTGAATATGCCGTATAGGGTTGAGAACTACTTCGGCCTAATCGCCCATTTTGGGCCCATCGAGCGGAAAACTTCAAATAAATCCATGATTTCAGAGTTAACAAGTCAATTATGCGTTTGGTACGAACGCTACGGAACGAAGTTAATGAGAACGCGTAAGAAAACAAAAAAAGCGCTCCGACCGAATCAATTTTTATCTTCATCCGATAGGCCGAAGTGAATTCATTGGCGTTTCAATACGTTGGGCCGAGTTTAGAATCCGTAGGCCGAGTTTGACGTCAAGAAGCAGTGTTAGACTTTTGACAATATCTCAACGATTGGTTTCTCTTTATCAAATATTACGGTACATACGGAAAGGTAAATAAATTTGGAAGCAATCAGTAATGATAACATTCCGTTTGGTGCTAAACTGCGCAAGATTAAGAAAGACTAAGTGCGAGTTGGGCTTAATAGGCTGAAAATGGAGTAGTTAACCCTATATACTTAAATCCATATTGTAAGATACTAACGGCTTTAGAACGGTTTGTTCAAATGCTGATGGGTCCTTTTCTATTGGTGCTATAGAGTTTACCTTTTCCTCTCGATTTTCTTGCTTTCAATGTCTTTTTCTCTTCCAGTCTTTCTTTTTCCCTCGTATTTTCATATTAACTCACGCTGCATAAAGCACTGCAAGGATGCTGATTGCGATATATCAATATTGCAAAACGGACAACGTTTTTGGCGTCAGAAAATCACGTGGTTACTTATAAAAGCATAAATATGTATTTTGGACTTAGACCTCTAAATGTCAACGGAAAAAGCTCAATTTTCGATATGTTACTTAATTAGTCCCAATAATCATTTGCCACATGGGAAAACATATACCGGAACGATTTTGAAAAATACGCCCCACTCTACTGTCATATGACATTTTAGTTTGGTACTGTAATTTGATAGCTTGTTTTGCAAGTTTCAGAAGGAAAGGCAGTCGTTTATCACAGAAAATGCGAAAACTACGGTGACCGCTTACAAGACTGATTCCTATACAAACTTCAAATGGTTTATGCACAGTCACACACTTAGAAATAACTAATTTTACACATGACGGAATCCGTATTTGACATACAAGATGAGACGTAAACAAACATCCAAAAAGAATTTTTTTAAGCAATAAAACACTCAGGGAGGGCAAATATGTTATAACCCATTTATTAGTCATCCTTCGAACTACAATTTGTATTTTTTTAACTCGATTGGCGTCTCCCCGTGGCCGGTGCACCAGGTCGCGCGGGCGTCCTCGCGCGGAAGTCGGAAAATGGCGTGGGAAAATGCTCCTTTCCACGTGATCCTGGAACATAAATCGAACAAAAATCCTGATTAGTAATGAAATTTGGGTTAAAAATACGTATTCCGATTTTATTTTAAATTAATTTTTTCAAAAGTTGTGGCCTTAGGAAAAAAAAGTCCATTTTTTCACCCTAAAAATGCTTACAAAATCGTGGATTAAAAATCCATTTTTGACAAAATCGAAAATGTGGGTACGTATTTCCAAGCAAAATTAAATTCTGAACAAGAAAACCTAGGCGATATCCAAATTAGATGATAACTAGTCAGAGTTATTTCCCACGCCAGTTTGAAAAACCCCGTTTCGAGATAAACGCGTTCAAATGCTCAGATGCTCTCTCAGCGCGCCGGTACATGTTTTAGGAAATCGCTTCGTAAAGCGGTAAGGAATATTCTGACGGACTTGGAGTCTTTTCTAAATTAAAGTATACATCCCAAGGAACATTTTAAGCCAAAAAAAAATGCATTTTTTTTGAAAAATAAAAGTGTACTCCCCTCTTAAAACTGTTTTGAAATTCAAGCATAAACGTCATTAACAATTTTTTATTAATGTCTTAATAAAACACGTTTATTCTATCATTATAAAAGCAACCATAAAACCATTAGGTTTTGCATTAGAGCAAAAAGCATTTATTGTTGCTGTTCAGGCTTTTTAAAGTGCATTATTAACTCCCCAATTACTCTGTTTACAAATTGGGCTTAAAAGATGGTTCCTCGTAGTTAATAAATGTTAAATTTATGACAAGGAAATCTCGAAGGACAGACGAAGTAGGATGAAAAATTCAAGTTGATTTCAGCAAAATTTACTTTAGAAGAACCAGCACACCATCAACGACTGACCATCTGGCGGACCATCCCTTCATCGTTGGATGGTGCGGATGGTAACCATCCGGAAGAAGGGGATCTTTTTCGGGAACGATTGCGCTTTCAGCTGTTCGAAATGCGAAATGTTGTAAAGCAGTATCGCAAACTGTCTGAGTAGCTGCTCCCAATCTATCGGGAGAAAACCACCTAGAAGAACCCTGGATCCCACAGCGCAACTATCGAAAGATAAACAAACTTTGACGTTTAACATTTTGCAGGCAACTTTGCCTCCATAAATGCTGCCATAAATCTGAACGGGTTAGGATCAAGCAAAATGGCTTTAGATAAATACAATTCATAACAGCCATTTTAAAACCTTATTAATTTGTTAAGGAATTCTTGAAAGAAAAACAACTTTTTCACAAATGACCCATGAAAATCAACTTCTATGCCACCGCCATGTAATAATTAGTTTGCTTATTTTTTACAATCTTCGATTTTCAATCTATATTTCCTTATATATAACAATATTTTGGTAAATTTAGCAATGACCAAACATTTAAATGCGAAAATATTAAAAAAAAATATGGCCAACTCGATCTGAAGAATATATATTATTTTTCAATGATAAATAATTAGTCAAATCGACGTTTTACGAGGGTGGACTTATTTTTTTCGATGTTTTCACATACATTTCACATAACATTTAATATGGCACTTAAAACTAGGCCACTTAATGAGAACTATTGTAATACATTTGGATATTCAACAAGATTTTTATACTATCAGTTTCTATTTTAATTATTTTGATAAGATCGGATTCATAAATCCTTTTCTATCTTGATTGATGCTTTCCTAGTGGATTCAGCAGGTTCTCAATGCGTTCGTCATACAACTTTTTGCAGTAAATCAATCTTGAAGAGCTTCGAGAATACACCCTTCAGAACCTTCCCCGATCAGCACACTTGTCACTGAACAGTTGTGGATACTTGTATGTAACTTATTTCTGTCACAATCAAGTTGCAGCAACCTATTATGATGGACATGTGTTGCTTGGGTCTCCAGGGTGGGCCAAGTAGACATATTCCAGTGTTAATGAGGTTTTGGTGAATGCATTAATGACAAAATAGCCTTGACCAGGGTTTTATGAATGTTGTTTTATAGTTGCTTTGTAGTATTTCATAAAACTTAAAATGTTACTTGGGATATATGTCACTCTAAGAGCACCTAAATTCACATGAATTATTCTAAGTGTGCAGTTCTTACCAAAAAGTTCAAATTTTGAGAGGCTATTCAGGAACCGATTTGGAACCGTTTAAGCATCGGTGAGCACAAATTTAACATTTTGCATTAGTGTAATGGGACAGCCCCTTGTGAAAGTCAGTTCATCGTGATGTCGCATTACTCTGGAATCGGTGATGGCCATGAGCATTCATCGTTCTGATAATGTTCTGAATCGTCTTCTTAGAAAACTGCGTTAGTATTTAAATATGTAAAAAGGGTCAGATTGTCATATATCACCACAATATTAGTAGTCTACCAAAACTAAAGATCTGTTGAAGGGTCAGTGAAACCTTGGTTCAATAATGCGTAAATTCGAACCGGTGCGAGATTGAAAAAAGCACAATTTTAAGCTGACAATGATTTTTTTTTTGATAATTTGCTATGCTTAGCTCTGAAGCCACTAATCGTCACCAATCTTCCCGTTTCAGCAACGGGTAAGTGAAGGTAAGTAACCAAGATCGTGCGAGTTGTAAGTTTGTTGTGCATTAGACTATTATGCGCCTGTTTTACACTACAATTGAAAACTAATCTAACTTCCTGAACTGATAACTGCTAGCATGCTTGTGAGAGTTCTGACGTCACTAATTTTACGATAACAGAAGCAGTTTCGAAACTTACGCATAGTGAAGATTGCAATGGTTTTTATTGTATGTATAATCCTTTATTTTGAACTTGATTTAATCAAGAAGAAAACGGAGCCACATTTTTCTTATCTTGCACTCGCATTCAATGGGACAGTAATCTGTTGTATCTAGTATTTTTATCATCGTAATCGTACGGTTGAGTGTCCACTGCCCAGCAACGCACGTCATAAATCAGTGCACTGATTGCGTTTAGCTATTTCGAGTTACAATTCACGATCGTCACGACAGCCGTTTGTCACACAGCAGGTAGAATACGAGGCGGTACATCGTGTGTATTTCCTTGTTGACGGCGTGGCGTCAACGTTTCTTATCGCTTAAACAAGCTTCTCGTCTTGCTTTGCTGTCCAATAATAATGAGTCATTATTGTAAAATATGCAAACACGTTTAGGCGTGAGACAATTATGTGCAATTATCGAGAGGGGCTGTTTTTGACAACGTCAATGGGTTATCTCAGCTAATCATACTAACCTTCTGTGTTGATGGCAATATTTTTTTTTTTATTGAATTGGTAAATTATTTTGTTTATTTTCTGCTTGTTTTATATTTGGTACAAAGGACGTTGCGGCGGCAACCTTTATGGCTATTGCTGGAACCATTCCGGAGTTTTTCACGAACACGATCAGTACGTTCATCGCCGATTCGGATATGGGTATTGGTACCGTCATGGGATCGCTTCTGTTCAACACGTTGGGTGTGGCCAGTCTGGCGGGTTTGGCCACTAAGAAGGTATGTTCTAGTTTGTAAATTGTCTAGTTTTTCCAAAGATTGAGATGTTTCATTTTTACAGCCCGTTCAATTGGACTGGTGGCCACTAACGCGGGACTCCCTCGTGTTTGCTTTTCACATAGCCATCTTAATTGGATTCTCCTGGGACGGTCGGATCTACTGGTACGAAGCGATGGTATTTGTCATATTGCTTTTGTTTTACTTCTTGATAATGTTTCAAAACAAACATATCATGAAGTTTGCCAAAAAATACATCGAGGTTAAGTGGAACCTCTGTACTCGCGTGATCAAAGAAATTGAAGCCGATGAAAGGGCCGCTGCGGCTGCGGCAGCAACTGTTGGAACTGCTCAGCCTAATGTTCAAAAGCCAACGTATCGAATGTCCACGGCATCCATCCTATCCGATCAGATGGCAGAGAAACCACTGAAGGTGGGAGAACTGCATAGTAAGTGTTGTTGAGTTAATTGCTGTGAATTGTTGTTTGATTATTTCTTAATTTCAGTACCCTCCCGTCACGTCCTCCCAGACTCGGATGAACATCCACCCATGACGTTATGGAAGATTTCCCGTGAAACAAAGCTGCGTACCTTTTGGTGGTTCTACAGCTGGCCGATCCGTTTTGTGCTGACATTTACAATTCCCAATCCCACGTTTCCGTCCATGCGTCGGTGGTATCCACTAACATTCATAATGTGCATCATTTTCATAGCTCTTGTCTCGTTTCTTACGTTTTGGATGATGTCCATCATTGGATACACCTTTGGAATCCCGGACGCGGTTATGGGTCTTACGTTACTAGCCATGGGTGGCTGTATGCCGGAGGCAATCTCTGCAGTGCTTATCATTAGAACCGGTAAGTTCTAAACAAAATGCTCATCTTGGATATAACCTCATAACCTTCCATCATCGCAGGAAACGGAGCCGTCGGAGTATCAAATGCCCTCGGTGCTAACTCGTTGGCGATCTTGTTTTCGCTCGGAATGCCATGGTTCATCAGAACGGTGGCCGACGGTGGAAGCACTAACAACTCGTACGTCGTAATTGCCTCCCACGGAATGCAGTACTCGATCATTTCACTGCTGTTTGCCGTTGGTTCACTGTACCTAGTAATCTACATTGCCAAGTACAAGCTGCGAAAGCGCATCGGTATTGCTTTGATGGGATGCTACGCCATTCTAGTGACGTTCATGTTGCTAAATGAATTGGACATCTTCTTCCCCGCCAATAACGGTTGTTGATGGAAAAACGGTCGTTTCAGCAGCTTTTTGATTGTGACTTGATATGCAGCAAGTAGATCCTAAGCCGATGTAAACCATTACGGAATACATGCAACTCGACTCCCGAATATTTGTAAGTTAAGGTTAGCTGTGCTAATATGTAAGTTAATTACTCCCGAATGAAACCAGTAGTGTACTTATGTGATATTTTTTTTTACAATGAATGAAATGATATTATGTTGATGAGACATATAAAATGTTTGTTGTAATCGCTCCATACCTAGTTCTCTTCCTAGGATGTAAAAAAAACTACAAAGGGTTATTTATAAATTAATGTACCATGATGTTGGTAGTTGGTAGTGTAGATTTAACGGATAAATGTTGGTAGTTGTAATATTATTTCCATTAATTCATACGGCAGGCCAATCATGACTACAATTGCTATTATTGCAAACTTACCAGTTTACGATTTATAATTCACCCCAATTCAATGAAATAAAGTTACCTATTGGATGAGGATAATTTTACTATTCTGCTATACCCGAAAACAAAACAAAAAACGATTTCATTAACAATTCTCAGAAATGCTTGAGACTTACCAAACAAACGGATTCAAAGAAAATGTCCCATGTATATTTCCAACCGGACAGAAGCTCCGGGTTCAGTTTGCATGCTTCTGATAAGAAACACATACACACCTCCCTCTCCGTTCAAATATACCAATCTGATCTACCGGGATCACTGCCTTAACTGCATTCGCTGCTATAAATTACCTCTCATTACATTGAATGTCTGTTCCACTTTCCTGCCACAGGGCCAGCTTAAAAAACTAAATGAGTTTGCGTGGATTGTCAGACATTTGCATGGCGATGCTCGCATTCTACGGAAGCGATACTGTTCTTACCACATCGTGTTGTTGACCACTTCAGTACCAACTTTTATTTCTTTCTACTTTGCGGTGGACAAACTTGAAGAGGGAGAAAGTGCCTATCTATCATATAGAGTCAGGTCGACGTGACGAGATTGATTCAGCTTCAACTGGCAGTGAACCGATCGGTTTTGCCACCCGGCTTGTACTGTTGTTGCATTTGTAACCTAAACATTTGCGGTTTTGCTACCGCAAATGGCGATGGAAGAAAAAAGACTGAAATGTGTCGTTATACAATGAATCATGCACGTAGTCCGTCGCTTGCAGCTATGCTGAATGCAATACATGTGTTTACGCCGTATTTTGATCGATTGAAGCGATATCGAACAAGATTTGCTGATGACATGCAAAATCTAGACAAGGTAGGAGAACCGGAAAATTTTGGGAGACTACATAACTAACATAAAAGTAGTAAAAATGGCAAAATTGAATTTCATTTCGTTCAAAGTGGAGGTCGATAACGGACCCAATACGAAAGCCCTCACTTGTGAGCCTTGGCTTCCAGATGTTATTTTCCGTGAATTCGAGGATAACAGGTAAATAAATGTTTCCCGAACAGTCAAGACTTTGTCGAAGGAAAACAAGGATCAACCAGTTCTGGCCACTGGATCGTTCATAACCGTTCCTCCACAACACGGGCCTAACTAATGTGATCGCTCTCTGAACCGGGACGCACGCTGAAAAGTACTACGGAAGCCCCTTTCACACCGTTCCAGTCGAGGCCGTTTCCACCATTGTTTGTGTTCGTGGGGTTTTTAAAACGGGTTTTTTACTCGGTACGTGACTCCCGAGTAAAAAATATTTTAGTCTAAATGTAGTTTTACTATTTGAGATTGGAGATCTTCCAATTATGGCTGTAATTTGTCAGTCGAAATTAATTAATTGTATCAATCGTTTGCATTAATTACAATTCTCCATATAGGGGAAATGGTTCTAATGTTGGCCTATGGATCTAAGATTGGGCCCATCGCTAAAAATATACTATTTATCGATTTTATCTAGATGATCGCGTCATTGGGACGGTACTAATGGGTATTTTTGGTCGCTATTAAAAATTTAGTCGATTGTTGAATTTATGTATGGGCCCAAAATAGGGGCATTTATGCTGACATTACACCCATTTCCCCTATTATACCAATAATTGAAGCTTAAAGTCTTATTATTGAGATAAACCTATCAAGTGTAAAATTTTGATGGATACCCAACAAACAATTTGAGTTGATCAACAGCTGATTAAGCTATTTTTTAGCTGAAGAAGCTTGGTTTTGCCTGAATAAGCTCTTATTCAACATTCAATGTTTGTTGGGTAGAACTGATTAACAATAAAGATAATTATGCTTATACAGGGCACCTAAATGGTTTCCCACATCAAATTGCATCACAGAAAAAACGCTGTAGAAAACTACCTAGCGGACCGATCCAAACTTTCAGACAATAAAATATAACCCATTAGTAATCTTTTGGCATATTTATTTCATTCAACTTCAATGCCATAACCGTACGCTCGCACCTTACGCTTAACTCCACTCATTAGATTCTGTACAACATCTGGCTGCAGCTTCTTCTGTACGGAAACCCACTTTTTCTTCATGTCTTCCCTAGGGGTAAGACAGCTTTTGATAATGAGTAATACTGGAGTAAATTTTGAGTAACTCTGAGTAACTCGAGTTGCTCAATTTTCAATGCTAGGTGACATAGCAACCTGTTTGTTTTGTGTGCATTCCACGATTGTCAAGCAAAGACGTTTGACGAGGAAAATCTACGTTCATCATTCAACAACATTATATACCGGATTGCAATCCACAAAACCTGTGTCGCAGCATGCAAAATCTGTGTATGCTTATTATTCATCTTTTCCTTTATTTAACGTCGGTCTCTGTTCCGCAATCTAGTGCCAATCACCGACGGACATCGATTGCCATCCATTGACGGCAACCGAATGTGCAGGAAGGCAGCTTCCAGACCTGCGTAGGATATCGCACCCATTCACAACAACACACATGGGCCGGGACCATTTTTATGCCTCAGAAAAATTTTTATGCCTCAGAAAATTCCCACCACCCTCGGCTGGGATTGAACCCAGACCCATTGGGGTGTTAGAAAGCAGTCACGCTTACCACGCCGGATATGCTTATTAATGGTTGACGTAGATAATTATTGGATTTTCAAGTGAAAATGGAGTGGTACCATAATTTGACGTCTTTATGATTTATATGGTAGGCATTCCATTGTGAACATTTTAGCAGTTTGCATACCCACACCGTTTGAAAAATTCATGTAAATTTCTGCGAGATATAGCGCACATAAAATTAACGCTAGATTTGGCAAAAATTTAGGCGATATTTCGTATAAATTTAAGCGCAATATCCCTTAAATTAGAAATATTGTATGCAAGCTTGTAAACGATTTTACTGTTTATGTCAAGTATAGCTAAAAATTTAACGAAGGGACATTTTACGCGATAGTTAATATTCAGAATTTTTTTCTGTGCACCAACAAAATTCAAAATGTTTCAGTGCTCCATAAAAGTTTCACTTCACGTGGTATCAAAGACTACGGCTTTGTGATTCCAGGACTGTATTGCCTACGAATGAAAACCGAAGTTTTTGATGGTAGTACTTTTTGTCTTCCTTCGCATCGCGTTTCACTCGTGACTGTGGAGGGCAGTAATCATTGAGGAGTTGCAGTTTTCCATGACGGGCATCTGTTAATATCAAAACCTTTTCACTAAGTTTAAACCGGGATTGATGGAAAGATCATTGTCTAGTCACATATAAAAATTTACTGCTCTATCAGAACAATAATTCGCAACTCATTTTAACTTATTTATATAAGATGGTGAAATTAACAATTAAAACAATAAATCCTTGGCAACCCATCATAAATCACGCCAAATATCGGGTTCGTTTCTCGGGATCATATTAGAAATATCTTTTTCTGATTTTCAACTTTATTGTCCCATCATAGTAGAGATAGAGACCACGCATATAAGAGTAAAAATTTACACTGAAAAGTAATACACACGGGTTAATGAGTATTTTATGCAACAATACAAAATAAAATACGAATAGGATTACTCCGACACTCTGACAGATAAAGAATGTTTATACTGATTTAATATTGTATTTATTGATGAATACGAGAGTACTTTGAGCATTTTTGAGTAAATATGAGTTACTCAAATTTACTCACTGTGATAACTGGAACATGTACACTGAGAATGGCAGGTTACTCCCAAGCCCCATTCAGTTGATTCTTTGTACAATTTCACTGGTTCAGATCAATCACGGAGTGCAACTATCGATACGTGCAGTCAGACTAAGCTAAGCTAAGCTAAGTTACTCAAATTTACTCACTGTGAAAATATTTACTCTGAGTACAGCCGTCTTGCCCCTAGTGTCTTCCTCAGTTTTGACCTCCTTGGGATGGTTCCGTACTGCCTGCTTCATAATAGCCCAGTATTTTTCGATGGGGTACGAAAGTGACCCCGTTGGCTTCGTACCACTCCATGACAACATTTGAATAGTGGCACGAAACTTGATCCGGCCAGAAGATCGTTGGGTCCTCTCGTTGCTTCAACATAGGAAGCAGACACTTCTGTAGACACTCATTGAGGTAGATCTCCCCATTTACAGTCCCGGTAGTCACGAACGGCGTACTTCGTTTGCCACATGAGCAGATCGCTTGCCAAATCATGTATTTCTTGGCAAACTTTGAAACATTCAGCTTCCTTACTTCCTGGGTGCACACTGTACAGTTTCCGGGCCCGTGACTTTCCCACCGTATTTTGCCGTTCGTCACAATTTAGAGCCTTCTGCACTTTTTACGAATGCTGTTCCTCCCGGTCCTTGGCTCTCTGAACGAAAGACTTGGACAGATTCAATTTGTTGGCCCCATCCCTGATCGAAGCATTGGGATTCCGCTTAAACGCTTTCACGGCACGCTTGTAATCCTGATCACCAATAGAACATCCATTCTGACCGCATTTCTCCTTCCGTTCGATGCTCAGTTTCGTAGAAACGTTTAATCACACGATTCACCGTTGACTGCGCGATTTCGAGTTGTTTTCCGATGTCCCGATGAGAGAGTTGAAGATTTCCCAGGAGCTTGCGCACAATCAATTAGCAACGTTGGATTTCGGGTGGCGCCACTTTTCCAACTTTCGAAAAACTGACAGCGATAAAAATACAGTGTAAACAATATACCCTAAACTACTTCTACCCACATTTTCAAGAGAAAATACCCAATGGGTAATTTTCTACAGCGTTTTTTCCGTGATGCAATTTGATGTGAGACACCCTTTATTATAGCCATATGGTTCCTTTATTCGCCTAATGTGTGACCCTATTTTGGTTATTCTGAGGTTGTTCATTAAAAATAATCATACTGATCAGCCTCGTTTACTATACCCAACACTTCGAATTTATTTGGTTGAATGATAATGATTGTTATTTTCCATGTACCTACCTGAGTACCTGATGGGCGACGACTCATTGAATTAAAATCTGCGCCGAACGAAGTAACCGTCTCCATTGGTCTCGGTCCTGAGCCAATCGCTTCCAGTCGCCTTGGACGTTCAAGGACC